ATAAATAAATAAATAAATAAATAAATAAATATGGAAGGAAGATTACGGTTTAATTTTAAGAATGCACGAGGCTGGCAATTATTGCTATGTATAGATGCAGTCCACCTTTTACTGATAATAGCTTTGGTAATTGTAGTTACAATAAAACCATTATTCTCTCAAATAGCTAGAATTGCCATTGGTATATGTTAATATTATGTATTAAATATTTTTATTTTGCCTCTTTGTCATACTCTTAATGGAGTTTATCTAAAGCAATAACAATGTTAAAAGTCAGTATTAAAGCATAATGCATTGAAAGGCCATAAAATCATAAAAGCAGCATAAAGCAAGATTACAGATAGCCTAATCATGGTTACCTGTGCTGCAACAAGTTCCAGGTATTGTGTATGATACACAGCGCACAACTGGGTGTACACACTGCATCATGCCATGTTGTGGTTTGATTTAGCCTGCGTGGTGCTGTTTTTGTTTTGAACTTTCAATGAATGCAAAATGCACTTGCTGGATTTAGTCACTAGAACTAGGGCTGCTGGTGGTCTTCTGTCAGTGCTGTATTGCCTCTTCTAGCTCCCAGTGGGATCTGCTGTATCATTTGTACTGGTGGTCACTCTATTTCTGGGTCCAAATCAAAATGCCACTTTGATGTTTGAAACCCTTTTTTGGGGCAGGGCCATGGTATTTGAAGGCCTGCCTGTGTCTAAGTATATTCTGTCACATATTTAGCTTAATGTGAGTATATATTTTAAGCTATGTACTTGCCTGTATTTTAGAGTTCTCTAATAGAGTATACAAGTAGCCCAGAGTAAAACCTCTACAGCTGGGCTACTGTTAAAAAAAAATTGATCACTATTAAAATATTAATCCCTAAAAAATATTAATCACTATTAAGGCCCTGAAGACATGGTTTTGCCAGTGGGCCTGGGGATCCCAGCTCAATACAGAGCCCATCAAATGGCTAGTGTAAATGTGTTGTTGTCGCCGGGGTGGTGGGGTGGTGTAGTGGGTTTTGTATTTGGGATTTTTATTCCTGTAAGCCGCCCGGAGTCACCGTGAGTGAGTTGGGCGGCCATATAAATTGCATAAATAAATAAACAAACAAACAAACAAACATCCAATTTTGCAATAAGCTTGCCTATTGGCACACCCAGAGTCCTATTTGAGATAGACATGGCCGCTGTGGTCAGGAGTTAACTGATGGCCTTCCTGGTACCTTTTCACAGGCTCAGGAAGAAGAATGGCATTAAAGCCGGAAGCCTGATACTTCCAAAGAGAGAGAAATCTAAGCAGGGCTTTTAAAGAAGTTCACGATACTTGGAAGAGATTTATGACAGTTCCGAGGAATACAAATTAATCATTAAGGTAGCAAGCAAGAATAATCCAAAGCATTACATAAACCAGCATCTCACTTGTTTTTTTTTAAGATTATTTTTTATCCCGCTTTTATTATTTTGTATAAATAACTCAAGGCAGTGAACATACCTAATAGTCCTTCCTCCTCCTATTTTCCCCACAACAACCATCCTGTGAGGTGGGTTGGGCTGAGAGAGAGGGACTGGCCCAAAGTCATCCAACCACCTTTCATGCCTAAAGCAGGACTAGAACTCACCGTCTCCTGGATTGTAGCCTGGAGCTTTATCCACTAGACGGAAATGGCTTGTTACCTGGATAATCTTTTCATGCATGCAAAACTCCTTTTGGTCTGTCTGTCTTCCCTCCCCTGTTTTATATTTGAGCTATCTGTTGAATATTTTGATTCTTTCTGAAACAAAAAGGAGAAAGATATTTATCTAATTACCAGCCTAATCAGTTTATAGATACTTAGCTCTGCAAATACCTACCTTTGACTGCTTTTTGATTTCACACATTTCATTTGTGAACTTTTCTCTTTGCATATCATTCAGTAATAATAAAGTGTCTGTAAACATTATTATATGTAATGAAAATATCTTCAAAATACTCAGAGGTGTTAAAAGTAGCACATGCTTATTCAGTATGCACTGAAGTTTCTGTTGCTTCTGTTTGTTCTTCCGCAATTTCTAATTGGGCTTAAATGCAACATTGAAGTGTATCTCCATGGCACAAGTCCTAATCATAAAATGTATAAAAAGAGACATAGTGGCAAAAAAGCAAAACAGTGTATAGCTTGATTTTCACAGCTCCCAAGGCCTGGCTGAATATGCAGAAATGACATCTAGAAAACGGTCTTTTTTTTTTTTTTTTTTGCAAATAAAGTCTAACTGATCATATTTGATCCAAAAAATCCAATCACTACATTCAGAGTTATTTTTTTCAGCAGCTGCTGGTGTTGAGTTATCCTTAACATTAACTGTGATCATTATTTCTTGCTTTGATATCTCTCCAATTATGATTTTTAAATATATTTCAAAATCATATGATTTTTTAAAAAAATGAAAACTTAAGATGGAACATCTTTTTAAGAAGTTTTAAGATAACATGAATTCTCCACTCATGTTACCTTAATCTCAATCCTGATTCACTGTTTCTTTCCTAGATGCAGCCTTGGAAGTGTATATATGTTGAAATATTCCTGTAACTATATATGACTTCAGTTGGGAATGGATTCATGTTTTTAAATTGAGAGTTAAGAAAAATAGTACAAGTAGTCCCCAGTTTAAGAACAAGTTCTGTTCCCAAATCGAATTTGTATGTAAGCTGGAACAATATTAAGATATAATATTGTATAAGTAGCATTGTGTAATGAACTCGAACCATTGTGTATTTAGCTTGAATCATTGTGTATTTAACTCAAATTTTGCTATAATAGGCTCCATTCTTAACTATGGGTCATCTGTTACCTGGGCGGTCTTAAACCGGGGACTACCTGTAATACAATTTTGCATTGCCTGCTTCTCCCCTTCCCCATCTTTGTCTTCCCTTGTTCCTCCCTGTACTCCTGCAAAAAGCTTGGTTTTCATTTGTACTTTGCAGATGTTAATAAATGGGAAGAAAACTGATAGCTAAACCAGAGATTCCCAGAAGTTGGTTGAGTAGATGAGAGATAAGACTCTAGTATCTTTTGAAATGACTCTGTTCCAGTCATTTCCATTTATCATGATAGCTCCTGGATTTTGGGTTATCCTTATTCAGAAAAACAGTCGCAGTTTTCCTTGGTAGATCTTCTTCCTTCTCATGTGATGTAGCTTTGCATAAATCAGAATAAAGTTCTGTTTAGTTTTATACTGATACTAGCCTAGCAGTTGATGTCAAGACTTTTTTATTTTATGAAGAGATTTTAATTACAGGTAACTATGGAAAAATTGTATATCATGTCCCAAAGAAGGCCTTCCCAGGGTGACTTGCAAATATTTTTAAAGTCTCATCTAAAAATTTAAAGAAATTTTTTAAAAATAATGATTTCTACGAAACAACAGAACTGGAGAGAGACAGTTAATTTAAAGGCTCCATTTCAGCATGACTAAGTTAATAGTAGCACATTAAAAGACCTGGGAGAATAAAATGATTTTGCCAAGTATCAGGATGCCATGCTGGGGTATTGATTCTAGAGCTGAGGGCCCGTCACTGAGAACAGACCTCATCTGCCCCTGTTCCAATGAATTAAACTTATAACTCATTCCTGGAGAGTAGTATCTCACTTTGGAGAACTTCTCTAATTGAGTTGTGTGGGAGAATTTTAATATGCATTGATCCATGACCATATTTGGAATTAAGTTGCTTAAATGTTCGTGATCCATGGAGTTGGAAAAGGCTTATATAACTGACTGGAATTTAGCAAGATAAATGGATAGTTGATTGTGTTTTATGATGCTCTGCACAGAAGTCCTGATATGTATATAAAGGAGAGCCAACAGAAACATTTCAGTATCTGTCTTCAGTTGCTTGTACTGTATGCACAGTTTCATCCACTTATTACTGAATTGTTTTGTATCTGAACATATGATATTATTAAATTTCAGATGATGTGGAAACCAGCTTATGATTTTCTCTATACCTGGGGTGCTCACTATGGAGACAGCTACAGAGATATGTTGCAAGACTTGCATTTAGCTTTGGACAAAATGAAAAATCCTGTGACCAAACAATGGCGAGAAATAACTGGAGCTCTGATCCTGGTCAATTGCATGGAGGTTCTTCGGGCCAGCGCTTTCTCCATGTTGGATGAAAAATAAAAGTCATCTTCAAATTTAGAAAGATATTCTATAACCAATCTTCCTGGATTGTAAAGCAGTTAAACAGGAACATTTGCACCAAGGAACATTTAGAGTCTCTGTGAAAATTAATGCCTATAATGTATAGCTTCGACTTTTAAAAAACTGAGTCATTGATTTTCAAGCACCACCAATTTTACCTCATTTTTATTTAAACCTATATACCTAGCTAGCATTGATCAAAAGAACACAAATGCAGTAACCATGATTTGCACAGACTTGTGATAGAATGCAGAATATTTCATATTGGAAATGCAGTATTGATGCTAAGAAGCAAGTTTTCCTTTCTAGAGAAAAAGAATTTTTCCTAGATATTGGCCCATAGAGCTCAAATGTTAATTCAATTCTAAGTCAATCAAGAATACATACATTCATATAGATATGTTGCTCTATGACAGTCTTCCCAGATATGGTTTCCTCTAAATAGTTAAGACCGCAGTTCCCAGAATTCCCAGACAACATGATCAATAATATGGAACCGGTGAACTTGGAGACAAATTTGGGAAGGCTGCTTTATGATAATCAGGCACACTACTTCATTGTGTGTATCAGCTGGATACTGTATATTCCCTTGGACTTAGTATGCACTGGGCATTGATTTCCAGTAGAAATTAGGCATTGAGCCAGGTATCTTTATAACTGACTCATGCTTCTCTCAATGAGAGCTAAGCAGGAGATACTGTAAAGACTAAATTCAAGGAAGTCTTCACCAATTCACCTATTTGTTATCTGGCTTCAGAATAGCCAACTGCTTCTCTTACCTATAATTGTCTACAGGTCTGTCTTGTTTTGGAGCATTTAATGACACTTGTCCTTCCTATCAACCTGCCTGTGGACTTTTTCAGGAATGGCAGTTTATTCCCAGCAAATTAGCAACATGCCACCATCTCTGTGTGGTTGTCCCATCTGCTTTTTAGCAGGTTTGGGGCGGGGGGGGGGGTGTTGGGGGGTGGAGGCACGTTCAACTCTATGGAAATAATTTGCTACTATCTTGACAGTAAAGCATATAGCCATGGTGGTATTTTCTAGTGATCTATCTAGGTACCAATCAGGCCTGACCCTGCTTAGCTTCCTAACCTGATAAGGTCAGCCAGATGTTACCATCTGCTGTAGTACCAGGCCTGTAGCCATAGTTTATATCAGCCCATGATTGAGCCCTGTGTTTATCTTTTTTTCTTTTTTCTTTTTACATTCCTGACCTTATTGCTGGAATAATTGTATTTTTCCATTCCATTTCAACCAGAGCTTACACATTTAGTTTAGCATCTTCCTGGTTTTGTGTTCTTGTATGTAAGGAATAATTACATGTTCAGTTGTAATTGGAAAATGTGGTTTTAAAATGCAGCAAAAACAGCAATCACAGTTCATCACAGTGGTAAAACTAAGAGCATGAATACATTGGCAAGAAGGGAACCAGAATCAAGGCAGCTAAGTTTCTTGATAATGAAAAGGATGATCCCTTGGACATTATGATGAAGTTGTAACTTATGCCGATATTGAGAATAGCCCTCCTGAATCATTGCAGGAGTAAAGGCTATACCTTGGTAAAACTTAACAGAGATACCATATCGGTACTTGATTCCAGCTTGTTGACTCAGATGACATAACACAGTTAATCAGGTGAGTTAAAGATCTGATTGTTGCATTTACACCATTTGTTAAACTTGATTAGCTTTTTTAAATATTTTTTTGGTGTCTCTGAGTTAGTTGACTCTTATTGACTCTGACAATAGGAATTTTTCCTTGCTATCTAGAATAGAATAGAATAGAAAATAGAATAGAATAGAATAGAATAATAACTTTATTGTCATTCCATTATACACTATACA